ATCAGCTTAAACAGCCTTCAACTTTGTGGGCTATAGAACACATCATATTGAGAAAGGGAGGCAACTTTAATATTAAGAAGTTATAAATACCACCAATTTAGAGCCAAGTGGCTTTTTATCTTCTTTCCTTTTTAAGGCAAGATAATAAAATCTATGAGGAAAAAAAGTTACCTTTATTTCTGCAACAAAGGATCTTTTCAAATATGAAATACAGTATTTCTTTAGAGGAGAAAAATAAGAAGCTAAAAAGAATGGGTATTTCTTGATTTACAAAAGCATAATGGGTACTTTACAAATATTTAAAGTCTTTATAAATTTTTCAAGTCTCAAGTCATCCCACTATGCCACTTGTAGGATTTGCTAATTCAAAAGACAGGCCTAAGGATTTTGCAATCCTTTCTGCATCCAACTATCTTTGTTTCGTTAATTCAACACCAGGGTTTCCAACTATTACAATCTTTGTTTATTGGCTATGAGTTAGAACAACCATTGGTTATTACTATTTTCAACTGTGTCTCCTGTAGTCAACACTTCAATTACAAAGTATTATTTGAAAATTATCCAATTGTCAAAATTCACAAGATAATGCATTTTTCTTAATGACACACCCTGGGAAAAAACACCCAGAAATGGTACCATGTGAAATTAAATTTTAAAAATAATTAGCATAGACAATGATTTACTACCACATATCAGAATCTAGAAAATCACAGTTACATATATAAGTGTATTTGAAAATAATCTACAAGGACCTATATTCTATTCTATGACATTTATACAATGCCAAGACGATGTCTGAAAATTAAGCAATATTCTGAGTTTCCCAGAGAATGCCAATAACTGGTCTGAGTCTTCTCTAACTAAATTGACTATTTAACCAATGTATTTTCACATGGATTTGTCACTATGTAAACACAACCTAAATCTTAAATGAGGCAATCCTCAATCTTTAAATCCTAAATCAAAAACGAGGCAAAAATGTAGTTGTTTTCTATTTGGGGAATTAAAACATTATATATGACAAAAGCAATACACTGACTCAAAAACCATATAGACTTCTATGAACTTTTGTGGAAAGTTATAATTTGATCAATAATGATATTTAAAAACCTAGGGTAAAAAAAGGAAAGCTTAAAAATGTTCACCTTCAATTTATTTCATAGGTCACTGTTATACCATCTAATAAGATAATTAAAAACATGCAAGCAGCTGGTACTACAGCTAAACAGATTAATGTAATAGTCTGTAGTCATATGTGCTGGCAAGGGGCTCGCCTCTTTGGAGAGGAGAAGGTCAGCTGCCCTTGGGAAGAGGAGGGTGGCGGGGAGAGAATATTCCTTCTACCATGTGGCCCTGTGTTACAGTCATGAAGTTAATCATCTACTACAAACTGCTAATTGGCAAACTACTACTCTTCTTTCATACCCAGCACGGGTCTCTCAGGTTTAAGAGTTAAATAAGAAATACAGAAAGTTCATATAATCTGACAGAAAACACTGGTCTTTAAAAAGCATAGGTTCTATTGCATAAACCAATAATATCTTCTCAAGTCTTATAAATGTTCCATTTTAACACATCATCTGCAAAATGGTTGGGGCATATGTAACTGAATTTTGACAAAAACTAAAAATCTACTTTATTACCTAGGTACCATATAATAATCATACTGGTACCTTAGGAGTTAAATTTAGCTGTACTCCATTTGAATCAATGAAGCAAAACCACAAAAGACACAAATCCAAGTAAAACCTCCTGGCCTATGAACAACAAATCTATGAACATTAGATCTTATCATGTTAGGATCTGATTGATTATAAACTTCAAAATTTGTCACAATTCCAAAAGTACACCTCTGAACTTATACAAATAATAAAACACCTTCCTTTTATCACTACTATGTGCACAACTTTGCTATACAAAGGCAACCCAGAATACTGTATCTGAGGTTGAGAGTTTCAAGCCTCAGGTTAAGCTTGTTCTCAGCTCCTTTTTTTAGCTAACAGACAAGTTATTTCCCTATAAGACACATATTTTTTATCTTCCTTTTAGTGTCTCTATATCAGAGCACTGTAAAAAATTCTAAATACCAGAAGGTTAATGATGATGACAATGATGATAATGGCACTGACTGGAAGATAAAAGCAGCTAATATTTATGCAGCACTTACCATGTGACACTACCCCATTAACTCACAACAAGTGTTTTATTAACCCCACTTTAATGATGAGGAAACTGAGGCTAAAACTTGTCTCAAGTTTCCAAAGTACTTGGAGCCAGGATTTAAACCATCTCACTATATTTAAATATTATTAACAAACGAAAAACAAAACAACAAAAATCAGTGACTATGCCCTCTTGAAAGTGACAATCTAAGACCATGATAAGACAAAGAGTGGAAAGAGTACAGACTTAGGTGACCATTCAAGACTGAATTCAAAAGTCAATAAAACCTTGGCATATGCTATAAAAGGTACATGTGTTGGAAGGTTAAGTGAAACTAAGGGAACAAAGTTGCCAATATATATGAAAGAATAATATCCAAAGAATTACTAATGCCATGGTTTTGCATTTGGATTTCCAAAAGGCTTTCCCTTACACATTTGTGAGGAGGGAGCAGGTTAGACACTGTAATGTCTGTCTTATAAGACGATAAACTGAAGCTAATCATTATCTGGACACAAGTATCTATAGCTTGAACGTGAAGGTACTAGGCTGAAAGCCAGAACTGTCTGACTGTGAAGAAAGGTCAGGATTTCTGAGACAGTTTAAATCATAGAAAGGTAGAATTGTTAGGCTAAAGGATCTTTGAGGGTTGAAATATTCACATTTTTCTAATAACTTATTTATTTCTTTTAAGTTTAAAACAGCAATGATAGCAACAGAAAAATAATCCTCATTTTCAAAAGTGAATTTTACTGACAATTCTGTTGCCATTTTAGTATGATTGTGCAACAATTCCTAGGCTTTATCAGTTAACCTTAATATGAAAATATACCCCAGAGCTCTGCTTCTATGAATTCTGCATTTAACCCAAGTGTCAAATTCACAAGTAAGCTCATTATATTGTAAGAGCTATTGCCTGCTGAGTAGAAAAATATTCATTTCACACCTTAAATACTATAATACTATTTAATAACAGCACTGGCCTGCCAACTATTAAAAGCTCGTTTTTATATATTGTACTACCTGAGCTTTTTATCTTGCCTTTTTAATTACAACAATAAATTAATATCCTAACATTACAACACTGACAGGCATTGATTAAAATTATATTAGTTAACAACATTAGTATTTATTGTGCAAAGTTGCATTAGGAGTTCATTTTCAAAGTACAATTATCATTCAATAATACTAAAATACTTTAATCTTCAAACTATTCAAGAATAAAATAAGCTACAAGATAATACCGTGCCTTCACATTAACACATTTCTCTTAACTTTATATTATGTCCATTATTTACTGTAATTAGCTAAACTACAAATGTAATTGTAAAATTGAATTCACCAACAAAATTTATACACATACGGGTTTTCTTTCTTTTGAAACAGATCTCTATTTTCCTTTTGTCTTAGCTTTTTTATTGTATTTATACCTAACAATGATACTAACATAGATTCCACATGTATAATCATATTGACATTCCTCACTTACATATCAAATCATGAATGTTTGACTATCTATTATATTTACTTCAGCACTAAAAGAAGGATTTAAAGAATTCCAACATTTATAAGGTAGGATGAGTACAGTGAAAATATAATGACAACATATGAGCTTTACTGCTGTGATAATACCCTTCTAGAACACCATGGGAACATAAGCCTTTTGTAGGATCTGTGACACTTGAACGACTGATTATTTATACAGACCCCAACTGATATAAAATAAAGATGTCAAGTATTTCAATTACCATCTCATTTCTGGAATTCATAAACAAATTGTAAAAAACTTTCCCATTTACCACATTCTTACTTACTGCTTCCTGTATACAAGGCCCTATTCTAGATATTTAAAAGCTTGTCTGGGATTTGAAAAAAAGTAAATGACACAGTTCCAGTTAGTGATATACAATATGTATTCAAATAAAAATATAAAAGTTCCAATCATAAACTCCATATTTATTACATAAACAGAGTTACAGCTTAACATTCAAATGAGTTTCCAAGTGTACAATGGTTCTAGTGTGTTTTATAGTGTCACTGCAGAAGTGTCAGAACTAATTAATCATAAGGACAATGTACTCAAAGTATTCCCTCAAGAACCTGCATTGCTATCTACAGTGCCAAAATGTATTATTATTAAATATGTACTTTTTTTCTTAAAACAAAACAACCTAGAGTTCTTATATCACATTGGTTAAAGTATGTGAATTTTCAAATAGCACTGGAAATAACACAATCTTTCTTCTTCCTAGCCTTCCCTGTTATAAAGTTACAAAATCCATAAACATTTACTCAAGCATATCAAGTTATAAGGAAAACATTACCGAAATACTAGATAAGATACATGTTTTAACTAGTGTATCCTTTTTTAAAAAATCACTAATTGAGATCTAACTGCCCTGTTTGCTGAAGAGCCAAATGGGATATTAACAAACAGCACTTAATGTGACCATGGAGTACATTTCATACTCTTAGATGCTCGTAAGGAATATGTCCTGTTTTAAAAGGAAACTTAAATAAATGGAAGCCTTTAGTACTGTAGCAGATATACTGGATAAACAAAAACTGATTCTAATGAAGCTTACTACTACATGTGCATTCATACCAATTATCCTACTGTATGCTAACAACTGGTATCTACAATAAAGCCATTTACTCAAGAATTTAAAAGGTTACATTTTTCATTACTTAATAAGGCTGCAGAACAATCACTTATCACAATATCCGTTACATTTGATGTAATTTTAAAACACAGGTAACCATTCCTTACTACTCTTAGAATCCTGTAACATTAGGTAGTTTGTATAAAGATATGTATCTATGCATTCATCACCTACCTGTAAGAATTAAAAGTCCCATCTGAATCTAAAGTAGAACTTCTTCCATTTCTATTTGAATCTCCTGGAAAAAAAATTAAAAATACTGAAATAATGATAATTATGAAACTGAATATTTTAATTGAAAAGCCTCTGTGTGACAGCTCTATGTAGTAATATTGGGTCCAAAAGTATATAACCCTTTAACCCTAACCCTTAGATATCTTTTGTTATCAGAGGTTTTTAGTCAAAAATTTCATTTTGATGCTAAAATATGAACTAATACTACCAACTCCTAAATTGGATAGGAATACTACCAAAGTAATTGTTAACAGGAACAAATGAAGTACAGTACAGAGACCTTTTCCTTTTATGAAACACAAACAAAACTGAAATTTATAAACCATTTAATCATACACTAATGATTACAAAAAAGGAAACTCTTTTGTTAGTGACCAAGTCACCTGTCCTGGCCACTGGTACAGTCAAAAGAGAGCAACAGAGAGGGGACCTGGAACGTTTTCAGTCCCCAATTCTCCATGCTCTAGGAATTTGGTAAGCAGAGAAGTAAAACAGAAAGTAGGCTTGGGAGCTTTTAATACACCTTAATATTCTTCTGAAACTTTATATTTCAATTGTGGGCAAAAGTTCAGCAATTTTAAAAATGAAAAAACAACCCTGAAAGCTATTTCTGCATCATGTAGTAATACCAAACATTTAGAAAAAAATTTTTTCCACTTAAACAGTTATATGCATTGTATCAGATATAGAACAAATTCATACCTATCAGTTTCAAGATTACAGAATAAAAATAAATGTGCTCAAGAACTTGAAAATGCTTGCCAATGCCACAATATAAAATATATATGCTTATTAAAAGAAATTTAATTTTAGCAGTTTATATTTTAAAATATATACTTCAAAGTATAGTTTTTATGAAACCATAGTATGCTACTATTAAATAGACCATTTATTCTTAGAAACACATTAAAAAGACTACATTGTAAAAAAAAAAAAAAAAAAAAAAAAAAAAAAAAAAAAAAAAAAAAAAAAAAAAAAAAAAAAAAAAAAGACTACATTGTGATTACATTTTATACTCCTAATTCTTGTAATATAAATTTCAAACATCAGGTTATTATCATTTTTATGATATTTAAAGCTTAATAATTTAGTGATTTATCCATTTTAATTTATATACTTTTAATCCACTTTGAACAATCTAAGGTGCCACTGGAGATCATCACAGTGGTCCTGGTTAAGTCAAATAGTAATTACAGAGCTTTCACTTTAAAGATGAGATTATTTTTAATTATTGAGTACAGTACTTAAGGTACCATACTTATATAATTATGCTACTCATTAAATGGTTATTGAAAGCTGAAATGTAATTTTAATGACAGCTACCTATTTTTCTTTGCACATTTTACAGTTGACAGATTAGTCAAGAATGTGGTTTCTTTTCAAAATCTTTACAGCTGTGCCAGAGTGTTTAGCAGGACAAGAACTGGACGGGGTCCACTTACTAACTTTTAACTCTGATTTTTCAAAATGTACTTTCAGGGGTTTTTTTCCCCATTAAACAAAAATCCTAAAATGGATTACAGCATTCAAAACTACTGCCAAATATTATAGAAGAAAATTACCCCAAAACACTTAAATGTTTAAGATCAATTTAGCTGGGTATATTTTGTTAATTCTTTGAAAACACACACACTGTAGGATTACTCACACAAGACACTTCATTTTCTTAAAAAAGTTAATAGTATTATAACAAATAAACTAACAGGATTTAAAGAAAATTAGTCTGTTTCTTGCTAAATGAAAATTTCCTATAACACATGTTATTTAACAGCTTGCAGACATTTCCTGTGAAACATTCTATAATCAGTATAAAAGAAGTACTACATCATACATTTAAAATAAAAGCCTTCTTTTTCTTTAAAACTAAAGATTATGATTATACACATAAGATCTCACCAACAGAATATTTCTTCCTTTCTGCTGATATTTACCAGATCAAATATAAAATCCTTCAAATAATTAAGAGACTTTCCGTTTTTAAGCTAGGTTTTGCCATCATAATGTATTACAAAGGTTTTCTTCATTTTATACCTGTTTCAAAACAAGTATATCACATTAAATGTGACCTTCAAAGGATGAGAATAAGGGGGAAAAAAAAGCAGTTTTTCTTTCTCGAAAACATACCAAACAAGGAGTTCAATTGTTTTTCCAAACAATATTAGAGAATATAGAGAAAAGATTTCAGAGTTTGCTATATGGGGGAAAGGCAATAAAGTTTTGAAGCGGGAAAAACTGCTTTGTTCCTTCAATCCTCTAGTTGAAATTAATTATAGCAAATGTTTATGAAAACATCTGTTCCTTACAGTTATAAATTCATAATTTTAGTATGGACGATTCCAGATTCTTATTTTGGAAGGAAACTGTCTGACAATTGAAAGATTTACAAAAGAACAGACAGAATTTGTAATTCCGGAAAACTGTATGTACAGTGTACTATACATCCTGCAGAGATTTTGTGTGAAACATTTGAAGGGGCTTCAAACTGGTTGGTAACTAGGAGAATTCAAAGACAAACAGAGAGGTTCCTCTTTGATTTAAGGTGTTATACAATAAAAACATATCTGTAACACAAGGAAACATCAGCTAAGAATTACAAATAAATGCTACCTTACTATCAATCTAATTTGGAGTAGTATATTAAACTAAGTATTAATTTTAACAGGGATTTGACTAAGTCTAATGCCGATACAATCATGGGAAGGTCTGTGCAGTGTTCCCCCAAAAAAACAATAGAGGGTGCAAGAGAGTTTAATATGATGTTTTTAGTTGCTGTTCTGATTCTTGTTCTAAGTTGTCAGGTAGCCATAACTGTAACAAGGATGTGTAGGTTGTTTTCGGATCTCTCTCTTCCTCTTCACTTTCTTCTCTCTCCCTCCCTCCTTCTCACACGTACACACATGCATAAGTGCATTATTACAGCAATATTACACAAAGACCTTTAAATGATCAGCCAGCACAAATACTTAACTGTGTTTTAAGATACCGGACTACCTTTTACTTGCTTGAAAAGAAACTTAACAAAAGAGTAAAATTTTTTTTAAAAAATTGCTATTTTCAGTGTATTTCAATATTTAATGTAAATTAACCAAAAAAATCTAGATACATTTATTGAGGAAATTTTAACAAATGCATAAATTGTATACAATTTGTAACATACATATATGTTGCTAGGTATATTTACATTGTGCAACTATATTTACAGGAATAGTTCTACAATTATTTGTGACCAATACAATTTTAAATTTATACACCAATTTCTCATTGGTAAATGCTTTGTAAAATGAATTCCTAGCAATCACAATTAAATTAACTGATTTGAAAAAAATATGGTTGTAGTTATATTATTTTAAATGAGGATAATAGAGCCTATATTTTCCATTAGTAATTTCTAACATACATGTGTCTAACTTATTAAGCAAATAATATGTATAATGGTGACTTAAATCTCAAAACAAGATAAACCCAATTCCAGACTCCGTTTTAACTTTACTGCAGTCAGGTTTAGCTAAGGTCGTTTGTAGCATCTATCTGCGCACTGCTGAAATCACGCTAAACGAAGGTTTACAATAGATTTCTAGAGTACTTTTTATGCACAAACATCTGCTTCATGAAGGTAGAACCAGAGATTTTAAACTAGGTTAGGTTAAAAACAACCAGAATAATGCTATAAATAAACATGCTTATTACTCAATTGGGCCCTCAGTTTACATCTAAAACTCAAGATTTAGAAGATCACATCATACTGGGTACGAATTCCAAAAAGTATTACATAATTTAAAAAATAAGGTTTATCTCAAAATTGTTAGAGGAATGTCACCAAGGATGTGTGATGAATATTTAATAGTAAGAAGCAAAAAAAGATATGCTTTAAACTAAGTTCAAAACCAAAGCTATGGGTAGCCACATTTAGTTGGGAGAGGATAATATGCCATAAGTATTGTAAAGACCCGAATCTTTTGTTTTTTTTTTTTAAAGGAATATTACTACTAAAATGTTTTCTTTTTTAATTTAAAATCCCATTCAAAGTAAATCTTTCAAAAAATCCATGAATTAGGTATATTCATGTGTGTACATATAGTAAAACAAAGTAAAAGGACTCAACATCTATGAAGACGGTAGCCACGAAGGGCATTACCTTGTTTCAGGAATCAGATCAACACCAGTTTCTCTAGGCTAATCTACTTACGTTAAAAATCAAAAGACTACCCATTAGGTCTAAGACCCAATGCTCAAGTAAATAAAAATAATGCTTATTTAATAATTTTCCATCTTCTCTATCATTATTATCTACATTCTAATGATTTCATAGCCATATTAAGTTCTGTACATAATATTTAAAAATTATTTTTTTCATCTCCAAAAATGTTTATTATTATTAGCAAGATTAAAAACATTATTTGAATGACAGAAAGGATTTCTAAACACGAAAGAATATAAGTGCTATAACTTATAACTAAATATTTTCAAGTAAATGGACAGTTTTATGGCCAGTCTACACTTTATTAAAAACAATCCATATTTCTTGGTTCCATGTGAAGTTGTTTTGCTCTGAAATCCATTGCTTTGACTGGGAATGAGTCCTTACTGCAGTTAAGTATAAAAAATATCTTCCATAATTGGAGTGTAACCTGTATTACTAAGTAAAGAGCTGAGAAAAATCCTCAAAGAGTTGGGGTTTTATTTTTTAAAACATTCCTTTTACACACTACAAAGAAATAATTAGTATTTGAGCTTTTTAAATCTCTACATGATATTTACAATGGCAATCTCCAAAGGTCCTCCCTTCACATAATCACACACATACACTCTCTTCTGAATTGTCCGTTCCAGAAGACGTGGGCCTCCACGTGTTTATCCAAGTGTGAGAACAGAGACAGCATCATCCACAACGTAGTAGTCATTATATATTCCCCTTCACACACATATGGTGGTCTGCTCAAAGTCTTAGTAACAAAACCAGCTTTTCTCAAAACTTCAGGCAGACTATTCACTTGGAATTCCCAA